CCATTGCTTTAAACCTGGTGAAAACATCAATCACATCACTTTTCTTCTTGATTAACTAGGTCCACAACTTTCTGTTGTAATCATCAATAAATGTAAGAATATATTTGTTACCTTCAAGTGAATCTACCTGGAGAGGACCACACACGCCTGAGTAGATTATCCCGGGAGTGGATTTTGACTTGCTTCTTGCATCCTTGCTGAAGTTATTATTCCGTGGCTTTGTTTGAACACATTCTTCACATACTTCTTTTGGAATATCGGTTTCTGGTAGGCCTGTTACCATGTTCTTCCTCTTCAGATTACTAATGTCATTAAAATTAAAGTAACCACATCTATTATTCCATAACCATTCATCTCTACTAGATGCAGTCGTCAGGCACTTGTGTTCTAACACATCAAGTTCAATCCTAAAGGTTCTATTCTGAGACATAGGAGCCTTCAAGATTAACTTGTTTCTCGAGTCGATCAATCTCATCGTTCTATCTTAGATCAATACTTTGTAATTCCTCTCAACTAGTTGACCTATACTTATCGGATTACTCTTCATGCCAGATATGTATAACACATTAGAAATAATTGTTCGTTTACCGTCTTTTCTCCTGATCAGAACATCACTAATACCTTCAGCAAATAGGGTATTGCCGTTTGTAAATTTTACCTTGTTCTTCGACGAAGGAGTGATGTTGATAAACAAGTATTTTCTTCCAGTCATGTGAGACGAACAACCTAAGTCGAGATACCATTGATCTTTTAATCTTTCTTCTTCTTTTGTTGTGACCATTAGCATCACTTCATCTTCTGCAAGTTTTGCATCACTTTATTGATCTTTCTTGCCTCCTCGACATTGACTTGCATAATGGTCATACTTTTGACAATTGTAGCACTGAATATGACTTTTATCAAGTTTTCTTCCATCACATGTTCCTCTACCTGCACCACCACCTCTGTGATTGTCTTGGTTAGAAGATTGACTTTGATGGACTACCCTCTTGATTGTTTCCTCTACTAGTCGAATTCTTGTAACTTCCTATGCCCTTGTTACCGTTTCATCTTCCTTTGTGATTATTAGTCGATTGAACTTGCAAAGCCACGTTAGTCTTCGACTTGCTTGCAGTTCTTTCAGCCATTCTTTATTCGCGACATTCAAGAGTCTCTTTAAGCTCTTGTTTTGTCATACTTGACAAGTCCTTCGATTCTTCTATGGCTACTACTAGATTATCAAAGTTTGGATCCAATAACCTCAAAATCTTTGACACTATAGATTTTAATGTCAATATTTCTCCACATGTTTTGATTTGATTCACATGTTTTGTTACTTTGGTGAAGAAATCAGTCACATTTTCTTGTCTTCCATCTGAAGCAATTCATACATTATTTTGTGATTTTGTAACCTCATCTCCTTCACATTCTTAGAGACTCCAAATAATTTCTCAAGGATGTTCAACGCTTCCATTTCTGAATCTATATCACCAACTTTCTCAAAGTTGTTTGGATTAACACATTGATGGATTAAAAAGATAGCCTTGTAATCTTTCTTCTTCAAGTCTTTGTATGCAGTATTTTGTTCATTTGTAACACTCTCTAATTGGTGTTACTTCATTCATCACAAGATCCCAAAGATCTTGATAACAGAAAATAACTTTCATCTATTTGAACCAATTTTCATAATTTTTACCATTAAAGATTGGAAGATTCACCATAAAATGTCTGTTCGGGTGATTCATCGTGATTCAATGTGTCCCAAAGATTACATATGCACTTCTCTAGATACTAGATGTCGGGAAAACTCTAATCTTAAAGTTTACCAATCAATCTTGATGACCAAGAATCAATCTTTCTGATTGATCACGCCTCTTACTCTTCACTCTTTACTCAGGTGAAACAACCACTCCTTGGTTGCAGGATGACTTTACACTACACAGAGAATTGAAAGAAGAAAACAATATAATTGAAAGTGAGAGAAAAGGGAAAATTTGGAGAAAAGAGAAGAATGTAATGTTGTTGTGCAAACTGCACTCTGAGTGTTTGATAATGTGTGTTAATCACAACTGTGATTTCAGAAACTACACAATGATTTCTTACACTTGATTCTCACTTTGTTACAAATGAAATAGAGATCCTCTATTTATATATGAGATTAATTTCACTTAAAATAATCACAAAAATGACTAACTTAACTAAAACTAAGAAAAGTTCACTATTTCAACTCTGTCGACTCATTCGACAACTGCACGCTTTGGCATGTTATATTTGACTTTCTATGAAACATAGCAACTACAGACTTTATTCGACACAAACACCTTTCGACACTCGTTGAATACAAACACACTATTTCGATTTCGACACAAAGAATTATATACTCAACACTTAGAGCTAGAGATGATGTGGCAGACAAAAGAGACCCAAAGTTCAAGGTAGGTCCACATCATACTCTAGTTATAAATAATAAAATGTATGGTTGAAAGAGCTAATGCAGTACTCACATGCATACTGGTCTTAAAGGATGTAAACATGTGTTGTCTATCGCGTATGCTTCAAAATGATTTCAACAAACCTCCATACTAGGTTGTAGCCAAAGCCAACAACCTAAATCTAACTCCATCTTCAATCAAACATAAAAATCACTGACGTTTGCAATGGAATGCATTTATTCGTTCATTCTTATATGTTTTAGTTGGTGTAACTCTAAATATAAGGTCAGAGATAAGGCATCACTTAGTTGAGCCGTCAAAGGCTTTAGGGGAAGTTGTTTTGAATTTGACTAAATCCCAATTCACGTGAAGATGTGTCATCCTAGTTTGGTCAAGTGACATAGACTAGAGAGGTGATACACTCTATAGGCGCGCACTAAATCAAGATATGTTAGTCAGATAAGAGATCATGTGATATTTGTCCTCTAAGAAAATTACCACCAAGAAGATTGTAGAGTCTCTAAACCTTAAACCTCTAATTTATAATTTTAGCTAATGTTTGAGGCTCAAGTGGACATTATTCTATACTCTAAATCTACGTGATAATAGAAGTATTTGAAGGTAAACCTCATCATCAAGAGTAAGCAGACAACGTTCCCGTGAAGTTGTTCATTAGGGGTGTGCAAAATAACCAATAACTATAAACCAAATTCTTATCCAAATTAATCCAAATTTTAAAATCCAAACCAAATTTATATTTTAAATTTGGTGACCCATTTATCAAATAAAAAAAAAACCGGTAACCATTTGTTGCAAACTGGTTTGAGATTTGGTAACCATTTTTAATAAATAATTTGGAAAAATCAAAATCAACACAAATTTCAAAAACCTTAATCCTCACAATCCAAATTTTATTCATCTCTTTCTTCTTGAGAGAAACCGGTTTTTTTAAAAGAGAAGATATAATTTCTTATAATACAATTATAAAGTATTAATTAAGCGATTTTAAATTTCTATAAATTAATTATAGACCAAATCATAACTTAACATTTAAAAAAAAAAAAAAAAAAAAATAAACGTTATCATGACAAATTAAGATAAATTCTTTTAAAAAAAGAATGTTCTCCCCTTAAATTTATTTATTTTATTTTTTAATACTTACAAAATCATTTTTAAAATTTATAGTATTAGTGAAATCACAAATATAGATTGACAAAAAAAAAATATCATAAATATAGAGATTCAGTAATAGTGAAATCATAAATTTTAATTGTATAAATATTGTTATAATTTTAGAAATCATTAATAATTATTAATTAGTGTTTATTTTATAATAATATCCATTAATTAGTGTTTGAATTTTGTAGTTGATCCATCGTTAAAAAAAGATCATATTATTTGAAGCAGATAGGAATATTTATGATTTCTTTTTGGAAAGCGAATAGATATTCAAAAGAGATCATGTTATTTGAAGCAGATATTGAATCTCTATATTTATGATTTCTTTTTTTTGTCAATCTATATTTGTGATTTCACTAATACTATAAATTCTAAAAATGAGTTTGTAAGTATTAAAAAATAAAATAAATAAATTTAAGGGGAGAACATTCTTTTTTTAAAAGAATTTATCTTAATTTGTCATGATAACGTTTATTTGTTGTTGTTTTTTTTTAAATGTTAAGTTATGATTTGGTCTATAATTAATTTATAGAAATTTAAAATCGCTTAATTAATACTTTATAATTGTATTGTAAAAAATCCTCAAAAACCTTAATTGTCACAATTTTTTTTAAAAAAAATTGGTTTTAAAATTGTTTTTTTTTATAAAATTGGTTTTTAAACTGATTTTTTTAAAGAAAATAAAAAAACTGGTTTTGAGAGAAACCGGTTTAAAACTGATTTTTAAAAAAACTGTTTTTTTCTTTAAAAACCGGTTTAAAACCAAACCGATCCACTTGTAAACCGATTTTAAGAAAAAAAATAGGTTTTATATAAATGGTTTTAAGATCCAAACCAAACCATATATGTGGTTTGGTTTGGTTTATAATTCATGCACACCCCTATTGTTCATCATCATCATTAATACTTCAAATTCTAAATCCCTCTGGATCAATTATTAAGTCCACTTATAGATTGGGTCAATGTTAGATGCATTCATAATATTCAATATTTGATGCATTTTCATAATATTGTAAAATATAATTACATAGTAAAAATTCACTATTATTTTCAAAATCAGTTATACAAAATAAATAGTTGTGGTTTGTTAAATGTATAGAAATTAAAATAATGTCAAATGTATTTTGCGGGGTATTGTATGAAATTATTAATACGAAAAGATGAGGGGTAAATGAGAAAGAAAAATTATTTTCAAAAGTAGTTATATGGTCTATTTACATGCATTAATTAGCAAACTATAGTTATTTCTGTAGAAAAAAACAAGTCTATTTATTGAAATAAAGATCAAGAGTTCTTGATTAAAAATAAAATCATTCACAGTTGTCATATAATATTAGTGTTTCAATTACTTTTTAGGTACTCAATGCACAAATGAATCCAAAAAATGGAACTCATACTACCTTTGCTCTATTAGAGATGTGCACTTGTATTTGTGCTAGTCATTGAATCCCAACCCTTAATTAACTGATCATATTTATTTATGTACGAACTGGCCTTACCTGTGGGATCATGGAAACACTCAATCTCGTTGATAGTATCGTTGAGGAAGCACTCATCACAAGGACAATTGAAAATTTCAAATCCATATCTTAGCCCCTTGTGAACATCAATATATGAAACATTGGCTACAAATAAATAATATTTAGATTAAAAGAAATAACAGCAGCGTATTAAAATATACTGTATTAAATTTAAGTAATATTATAATTGACATTTTCTTACCTATAACGCTGTCAGTAGATCTAATTGAACCTCCCCAGAAGGATGTGAAAGTAACAAACTTAACACGGCATTGAGGCTCCAATATTTCAAAGCGTGGGTCTCCAACGATAACGTATGTGTGTTGATCCAAGCCTGAAGTGCCATCCACATAATACTCATCCACAACCTTACTAGGTGGACTTGTACACTTCATGAAAATTACAGGCCTTGATAAATCATATATATAGTAACCGGGATGGGGATCGGGATAATCTATAGACTTGTAACCCCATCGAGTTAAGTCGTACGCGTATGAATTATTTTCCTTCGGTATGCGCCAGTTCATTGAATCAAAATTAGTAAAGTTGTTTCGAGATAAGAAGAAGCCAGGAAGAGAGGAGCAATTGGTGGGTTGAATGTTAGGGTCAACAACTCGGATTGTGTAATTCTTGTAATTGATTGATTCTACTAAATAGTAACCATCATACAAACTCAACACAGTGACGTTGTTCACACAATCCAGCTCGTATCTCTTGTTCCCACAGTGTTCTGGGTCTTGTTTTAGTCTGAATGGATGGCTTATGTTTGTGATTTTTCCACAGGAAGAAGATAAACAAGGCTGGGAGTTGGAATATGTTAGAGTTGGAAGAAGAAGAAACAAGAAAAAGAGACACGTTATCATTTTTACTCACGGCCCTGGTTTTGTTTTGGTGGATGACTAGAGTTTTAAAGGGTTTATTCTAGGGAAAAATGTAATTTTGAATGATGTCAATGATGTAACTTTCCTACCCCATTTCCTAATACCATCATCCCGGGAGATGGGGACCTTTACCCCACATATTTGAATTCTATGATATGAAGTAACATATTTAAATAAATGACTAACATCGTTACAAAAAAATTCATGCTAAGGAGTATCCCGAAATTAATTATTTGAGAGAGAGACAAAAAAAAATTTAAAAAATTAAATTATATAAATATTTGCTGGAGATATACAATGAGGAGTGGCAAACAGAGAAATAATTATTGGAAATTTAGACACAACTTATGGATAATTCATATTCAATCTTGATCTCAAGATTGTTAACAATCACACAATGTCAATAAAAAGAAAAAGGTTTGAAAGAAAGAAAGAAAACAATAGCGTTGGAAAAGAAGATGAAAAATTCTGCAGAGTTCTCTCTATCCACAACTGTGGAATTTTATTATCATTTTACAACTGTAAAATCGTGATTATCAAACTTGATAATTACAATGATAAAGGTTCCTTCCTATTTATAGATTTAGGTTAACTTGCATCACCAGCTAAAACTCAAACTATAAAAGTCCAAAAATATCTAATCTAATCTTTCTAAATCAAATCTGATATTTCTAAATCAAATATAATCCTAATAAAACAATGAATTACATATTTAACACATCACCTAAGTCATTGTGTCCAAACTATCTACATTCATCATAGATCTTAACTTCTTGAACACTTTGACTGACATTCCCTTCGTCATGATGTCTGCAATCTGATTCTCAGTTCTGCAGTGTTCAAAGTTCATCTCTCCTTCTACTACCTATTCTTGAATAATGGAATCTCATTTCGATGTGCTTGCTTCGATCGTGTGTTATTGAGTTATTCGCCAAGTTGATAGCTGACATGCTTTCGATCTTCATGAAAATTGCTCCATGACTCTTCGTTGTGATCTCTTTGACCAGGTTCACCATCCAGGTTGTCTGACATGCACAAAGTGAAACAACTATATATTCTGCTTCACATGATGGCAATGCCACAACTAACTCCTTTCTCAAACTCTAAGTAACTGGTGCACCACCTAACATAAACACATAGCCAGCTGTGGATTTTCTATCCTCAGCATCACTACACCAACTTGAGTCAGTGTATCCCACTAGCTTGCATTCTTTTCCTTCATCAACTGCAGGAAACAAAATGCCGTAGTCGAGAGTTCCTTTCAGGTACCTCAATATCCTCTTCGTCGCTGCTAGGTGTGATACCTTCGGCTTCTGCATGAATCTACTTACCATACCCACATTGTATGCTAAGTCAGACCTTGTGTGATAAAGGTATCTAAGTGGCCAAATAAGTCTTCTATATTGGGTTGGATTGACATCATCTTCATATGAATTCTTCGACAGTTTTAATCTGGTCTCAGCTGGAGTCGAAGTTGGGTTGCAATCTTGTATCTCAAATCTCTTGAGTATTTCACTTGCATATCTTCTTTGGTATATCATCAAACCTCTACTAGTCTTGTAGAATTCGATGCCAAGGAAATATGAGAGATTTCTCAAGTCTGACATTTCAAACTTCTCACTTAGGTCATGTTTGAAATCTTCGATCTCCTTTTTGCAACTTCCTGTTATCAACATGTCATCGACATAGAGACATTGTATAAGTAATTCACTATTGGTTCTCATTACATATACTTCATGCTCAGTCGTGCACTTCACAAATTTTCCTCCCTTAGAAAGTTGTCAACCTTCTTATTCCAAACTCTTAGAGCTTGCTTAAGTCCATACATGACTTTATGCAACTTATACACCTTTCTTTCTTCGCCTTGTTTCACAAACCCATCTAGTTCTAGAACATGAACTTCTTCGTCTAAGGGGCCGTTCAGGAATGCACATTTCACATCCATTTGATATGTGTGATAATTGTCCATGTTTGCTAGACCAACAACTAACCTGATTGTTTCGATCCTAGAAAGAGGTGCAAAAACTTCTTCGAAGTCGATTCCTTCCTTCTAAATAAATCCTTTCGCCACAAGTCTCACCTTGTGTCAAGTTACTTCTTCTTTAGGATTCACCTTCACCTTGTAAACCCACTTTACATCAATTTCCTTCTTGCCTTGAGGAAATTAGACAAGTGATCAGGTCTTGTTGACTTCGATGGAGTCTAACTTCCCATTCATTGATTTCACCCACTTCAAACCTTTCAATGTCTCAGCTGCATTGACTAGTTCGACATCTGCGTAGAAAGCATAATGTATCAGCTCACCCTCTTCATCGACCATATCATATGATGTAATCACACATTCTTGCAACCTTGTAGGCATGCGTCTTGTTCGTTGAGGTCTGCTTTGGCCAGCTTCACCTCGAACTTCTTCTCATCGAACTTCTCTTTTGACTTCACTAGTTGGTTCTTCACACAAGATTATCATTGAATCTTTATTCACATTCTGAGTCCAACCCTATTCTTTAAGCTAATCTATGATCACTACACTGTTGATCACTACTTGCTTGTTCACTAGGTCAAACAACTTGTATCCTCCAGTCGAATGATATCCAATTAGGATCATTTGATTCGACTTATCATCAGGTTTCCTTCTCAACTGATCTGGCACATGTCTATGTGCTATATGTAACACCCTTCTAAACCCCACGAAAAATATGCGAATAATCAGAGTAAATTTTCATGCATTCACAAAAGGGCGTCACACATAACTTCGAAACATCAAAACCACCTGTCATGCTCATTAACACTTATAATAAATAATCACGCTTCTCACAATTTCACTTTGCATGAAGCAGCGGATTCATTTTATAACATAATTCTCTTAACAGAATATTCAGATTCATCACATACTTCAACATTACTTAGGCACCAAGGCCAACATTATAATATTCCAATGAATATAAAAACATAACATAAAATACATAATGTATCTCTAAGATACAAACCAAACGATCCCAGTGTTACATGACCAGAGCATGACTCGACCCAACATAATTAAATTACTAAACAGCTACACCAATAGCAACTTCGCAACTACAAGCAGCTCTACTCTTGATACCTGCACGATGCCAGATAGGACATCATTCCAGCAGAAGGGTGAGACATATTATCATAATAACAATGCATATAATCATATATATATATATATATATATATATATATATATACATATATATATATATATATATATATATATATATATATATATATGTATATATATATATATATATATATATATATATATATATGTATATATATATATATATGTGTGTATATATATATATATATATATATATATATATATATATATATATATATATATATATATATATATATATATATATATATATATATATATATATATATATATATGTATATATATATATGTATATATATACATATATATATATATATATATATATATATATATATATATATATATATATATATATATATATATATATATATATATATATATATATATATATATGTATATATATGTATATATATACATATATATATATATATATATATATATATATATATATATATATATATATATATATATATATATATATATATATATATATATATATATATATATATATATATATATATATATATATATATATATATATATATATATATATATATATATACACACACACACACACAAGCATATAAAACACTTATTCCACATTTCTCACCATAATTTATCATAACTTATCATATACATCACAATATATAGATATAACAAATATGGATAATCACCAAGCATATTCATCATGCACACATCCATAGTTTCAATCAATCCCCATAAACATACACATTATGTTTAATTCACCACAATTCATATAAACATATACAATCATGTTTATTCATTAATTCCTCAGTCAATATCATTCACACTTACACATTCATAATTCACATTATTGCACATAAACATTTACAATTATGTTTATTCATCACAATTCATCATAAAGTATATATATATATATAACATCAAACATGTTTATCATGCATATATCTAGAGTTCTCAATTCAACAATTCATGCACATATGCATACATTCACACAACATTTATCTCTATGCCATGTGACTCAATACAACTCAATGCGACTCATCAATTCGTATTCAAAATTATGGGTACATCACCTATACCCCACTAGGAACAACATCATAGTCATTCTACCCCAGTGAACACCAACACTAGGAACAACATCATAGTCATTCTACCCCAGTGCGTACGACTGTATCACGTATACTCCACTAGGAACAACATCATAGTTATTCTACCCCAGGGAGCACCCCACCAGGAACAACATCTTAGTTATTATACCCCGGTGATTATTCCACTAGGAACGACATCTTAGTCATTCTACCCCAGTGTATACGACCATGTCACTATACCTCACCATGAACAACATTTGTCATTCTACCCCGGTGATCATTTCACTAGGAACGATATCTTATCATTCTACCCCAGTGATTAATCCAATAGGAACGATATCTTATCTTTCTACCCCAGTGAGTACGAGTTTTGCACATACATATATTTCATCAAAGTATTCATACTTTCAACATCATCACCATATTTATCAAGCAATGCACACATATTCACTAACATGTTCTCATGCATCTTTCACATACAATCACATACAAACAAGATGCATTCACAATTCAATACCATCACCACATTTATAAAGCAATGCATACATATTCACAATATGTTCTCATGCATCCTCATATACAATCACAAGCAATGCACACATATCCACAATATGTTCTCATGCATTACAATATCGCGCCAACGGCAACGAACTCAATCACATTCATTATGCACTTTTAATCAATTTAAACAATGCATATATTTGCCAAAAGACCACATTTAACAATCGATTCCACAATCTAGGATTCACGCCATACGGCTACCCACAGCA